ACAAAGGCAATGGGAGGTGTTAGCCACACACTTCAACCACGATGTTTAAAGTTTAACATTTTGACAGAACCTGACAAGGAAAGGAAATTTGTAGTGAAGGCAGAATTGCAGCGTGAGGCTTCTCTAGGGATGACCATATGTGCTGCAATTGATGCTGTGGCAGGCAACTCTCAATTTTCTTCCAGCTTGTCACCTGCCAAGAGGACCAAACATAATGTAGAAGGACACAACCAAAATAGTGGAGGAGACAGCTTGAAGCACAGTTGGATTCATTTCTTTACTAAAGCAGCAGTGAAAGGTAGGAAGATCTCACATAGTAACCCATTGTTAAGGAATAGGCATTTAAACTGGTGGTGTAAACCAGCCTCCAAAACAAATGCTCGTGGTCACTGCCCATGCGACACGGTTGTTTTTCAGATCTGATCTATAGCAGAACACAAGTCTATCATTTGAACTGGACAAATATAGGAACACATAGGACTGGACTCACATGAAGCCTGCTTGTCTGTCTCCATCCGTGACCGTCACCTATTGCCTGAGGGTCATATCCCCTATAAGGAACTTAGCCTGTTTTGCATGGGGAAAAAATTCAGCCATAGGCCTCAATGAGATTTGATTCTTTTTAGCGAAATCTTAGTTTGCGTGACCATAAATAATTATGCAGTGAAATCCAGGCATAGTATTTCCCGTGATGTCCTCTACAGCAGTGACTTCTATAGACCAACTCAGTCCCTTACAACCATATACTTTCATGAATAATGATAATGTCTTACAACAGCTTTCATCCAGTAGGATCCCAAAGTGCTCTACTCATTACAAGAGAACCACTTTATTAACATCAATTGCAGCCCCCTCTTGGATGTAATTAGGGTGACCAGCCGTCCCGATTTTATCGGGACTGTCCCGATATTTGCTTATTTGTCCCGCATCCCAGCCTACCTTCGGTTGGGACGCAAATTGTCCCGATATTTTGCCTCCACTCACAGGCGGAGCGGAGCCCGACGGGGGCTCGCGGCCCCCCCGCCCCGACTCTGCCCCTTCCTCCTCCCATTGGATCCCTCCCCGAATCCCCACCCTAGCCCTGCCTCCAGCCCTGCCCCTTCACTGCCCCATTGGATCCCTCCCCAAATCCCTACCCTGGCCCCGCAAGCACGCCGCGTTCCTCCTCCTCCCCACCCCCCTCCCAGGCTTGTGCTGATCAGCTGTATGGCAGCGCAAGTGCTGGAGGGAGGAGGGAGGTGGAGATGGAGCGGAGGCAAGCTGTTGCGGCGGGGTGGAGCGTGGAGCTCCGGCAGCTGTTTTTTTTAGCTCCCCCCCGCCCGGCGTCCCGATATTTCACCTGTGTGATCTGGTCACCCTAGATGTAATCCTGCCTCAGCAAGGGGGCTGGACTGGATGACCACTGAGGGCCAGTCCACGCCCTACATTTCTATGGTTCTATAGCTACTGATTAACAGAACACAGAACAGTTTTAAGCCAGAACAAAGTCTTTATCCAAGTGACACTGCAGGAGGACTTTAGACAGGAAGAGTGTAGTTAACCCTTTATACAGATTATAAAATCAAGACAGCTGGGGGGTTAAGTGGATTTGCTGAAAATCACCCAGGAAGTCTGTATCAGACTGAGGACTGATCACCTGACCTAAACCCAGAACTGTTGTTTCTCTAGAAATGCTGAAAGTTCCACTGAACATGCTCTTGCCCAAACCGCCTTATAGACACTTTCCCTCCTTAAAGGGCACCATATCAGGGCTTTCTGAGAGTTGCAGCACTCAGAGCCTGGGTGACCAGAAATGTCTGACATCATCCTTACTACATTAGCATGACTGGTGTTACTTTTAATGGGAGCTATTTTAAAGAGCTCTGAAAACCTGCTTAGATATTACTGCTCTACAGCCAAAATGCTTCTGAAATAAATGTAGTCTGGGTCACTGAGAACGAAAATGATGCTTAAAATTGTTGATTGGCTCTAGTTTTCAAGATATGCTATTGGGTCA